CCGCCCAAGAGACGCCGCATTGGTGTCCTCACCTCGGGTGGTGATGCCCCCGGTATGAACGGAGCCGTGCGGGCCGTCGTCCGTATGGCCATTTACTCCGACTGCGAAGCGTACGCCGTGTTCGAAGGTTATGAGGGATTGGTTCATGGTGGTCATATGATTCGTCAGCTGCACTGGGAAGATGTCCGTGGCTGGCTGTCCAAGGGTGGTACACTGATCGGATCTGCTCGGAGCATGGCTTTCCGCGAACGCGCTGGACGTCTCAAGGCTGCTAAGAACATGGTGCTCCGCGGTATCGATGCTCTGGTTGTCTGCGGTGGTGACGGAAGTTTGACCGGAGCCGACGTCTTCCGTTCGGAATGGCCCGGTTTGCTGGAGGAGCTGGTCAGGAATGGTGAATTGACTGAGGAACAGATCAAGCCGTACAAGGTTTTGAACATTGTTGGCTTGGTGGGTTCCATTGACAACGACATGTCCGGCACTGACGCCACCATCGGCTGCTATTCCTCTCTGACACGAATCTGCGATGCCGTCGACGACGTTTTCGATACTGCGTTTTCCCACCAGCGAGGTTTCGTTATCGAGGTTATGGGGCGACACTGCGGTTGGTTGGCTTTGATGTCCGCGATCAGTACCGGCGCGGACTGGTTGTTCATTCCGGAGATGCCTCCTCGTGATGGGTGGGAGGATGACATGTGCTCGATCATCACCAAGGTGAGTCGCAAATATCTCGTTACCAGTCATTCATTAACGGAATCTTCTCTGTAGAACCGCAAAGAACGTGGCAAGCGTCGTACTATCGTTATCGTCGCCGAAGGTGCTCAGGACCGCAGTCTCAACAAGATTTCCAGCTCAACGATCAAAGACATTCTCACACAGCGACTCGGGCTGGATACTAGAGTTACTGTGCTGGGACACACTCAGAGAGGAGGAGCAGCATGCGCATATGACCGGTGGCTGTCCACCTTGCAGGGTGTTGAAGCCGTCCGGGCCGTTCTGGATATGAAGCCGGACTCGCCATCGCCAGTCATTACCATTCGTGAGAACAAGATCATGCGGACACCGCTGATGGACGCAGTGCAAGAAACCAAGCATGTAGCGAAGCTCATCCATGACAAGGACTTTGAGGCAGCGATGAGAATGCGGGATGCCGAATTCAAAGAATACCACTTTGCCTATCGCAACACTGCCACACCTGATCATCCCAAGATGATCCTCCCTGAAGACAAGGTGCGTTGCTATCTCTCAGTCAGCCGGCTTGGCTAATTCAAAATAGAGAATGAGAATTGCCATCATCCACGTCGGTGCCCCGGCCGGAGGCATGAACCAAGCCACCCGCGCCGCTGTCGGTTACTGCCTCACTCGTGGACACACCCCCCTTGCGATTCACAACGGTTTCCCCGGCCTTTGCCGTCACCACGATGATCAGCCTGTGGGCTCTGTTCGTGAAGTCAAGTGGCTGGAGTCCGATGCCTGGGTTAACGAGGGTGGATCGGATATTGGAACAAACCGTAGCCTGCCGTCCGAGGATTTCGAGACCACTGCAATGTGCTTCGAGAAGTACAAGTTTGACGCACTGTTCGTGGTTGGTGGTTTCGAAGCCTTCACGGCAGTCAGCCAGCTCCGTCAGGCCCGCGATAAATATCCTGCTTTCAAGATCCCCATGGTTGTGTTGCCCGCTACGATTTCGAACAATGTGCCTGGAACCGAGTACTCGCTGGGAAGCGACACCTGTCTCAACACCTTGATTGATTTCTGCGACGCCATCCGCCAGTCGGCGTCGTCCTCTCGTCGTCGTGTCTTCGTCATCGAGACACAAGGTGGTAAGTCGGGCTACATCGCCACTACCGCTGGTCTCGCCGTCGGCGCTACAGCCGTGTACATTCCCGAAGAGGGCATAGACATCAAGATGCTCTCGAATGACATTGACTTCCTGCGCGAGAACTTTGCCCGTGACAAGGGAGCCAACCGTGCCGGAAAGCTCATCCTGCGCAACGAATGTGCCTCCAGCACCTATACCACACAGGTCATCGCCGACATCTTCAAGGAGGAGGCCAAGGGTCGGTTCGAGTCTCGCTCGGCGGTCCCTGGCCACTTCCAGCAAGGAGGTAAGCCATCGCCGATGGACCGTATCCGCGCTCTCCGGATGGCGGTCAAGTGTATGCTGCATCTCGAAAACTACGCAGGCAAGTCGCGCGACGAGATTGCGGCGGACCCGATGTCGGCGGCGGTCATCGGTATCAAGGGCTCGCAGGTGTTGTTCTCCGCCATGGGCGGCGAGGACGGTCTGGAGGCGACGGAGACGGATTGGGCACGCCGGCGTCCCAAGACGGAGTTCTGGCTGGAGCTTCAGAACTATGTCAACGTCCTGTCTGGCCGTGCTGCTGCGGGAAAGCCCATGTGGTCATGCTATGAGTGTAAGCACTTCCCAGACTGTTATCGTCTTACAATACTGACTGTCGACAGCCATTGAACCTTCGGCGCCCACTTCACCTTAGAGCGGCCGTGACCGTGCAACACCAGGGATACGATTGATGAGACGGGAAGCTGACCGCGACCCTTGAATGATATTTCGGAAAATAGCTGACGCCCTGGACTTGGACATTGGGGTAGATTATGATTTCGCATCAGGAGTTGAGAATACACGATGGCTACGTGGTCTGGGCAAATATATTGAATTGAATCTAGGATTTCATAGTCAATGAATGATGGTATCATGCCATATGCCATTCTAGTAAACCGAAATATAACCGTTCGAACGCATAATCAAGATCGATTCTTCTCCGCCTTCTGCAACTCCTCCAGTTCATCGAGTAGCTGCACTGTTTCCGAAGGACTAGCAATCCAGGCAGTCGTAGATGCCAAACGCGCCTACGCGGTCAAGTCACTTTCAATTCGCCTTAAAAATGGAGAGGACGAACTCACCTTGAAATCATTCGCACCAGCCGAGAGAAACTGATCGCCAACATGGAGCGTGCGCGACCGCTTGATCCCCCCGAAATACCGCTGACAAGCGCGCACACCCCAGGACTTGTCGCCGATGTCGACGAAGACGTCGTTTCCGCCTGTCTCATCATTAGCTACACGCACGTGAAAAGGAAGTTTGGGGAAGGGGGAAGGAGGGGGAGGCACCGTTAAACGCGCAAAAGGGCAGTCTGGAGCCGACGACAGATCGTTCAACGGTATTCTGCACGACGAGGACGGTCTCCTCGAGCTGCTCGCGGTGGATCTTGCTCCGGTCGTAGGGGTAGACGCCGACAGCGCGGTCCTTGCGGAGGACAGCAACGGGCAGGTTGAGGTTCGCCGCACAAGCGCGCAGCGAAGACTCAGCAATATCGAGCAGCTGGGTGATATCCTCCTGTTTCCAGGACTTCATTTCGTCGAGGAGCCACTCCGGGCGAGGGACGTAGGAGAGGCGGTGCGGGGAGGCAGAGTCGAAGCGGAAGAGGAAGTTGCTCTCGCCGCCCATGACGACCAGGCCGTCTTTCTGGGCGGGGGTGAGGGAGGGGGAGTCGTGGACGGCGTCAAGGAGGCCCTTGAGGCGCTCGTAGTACTTTGCGCCCTCGGTGTAGCCTGCGGCGGTGACGATGCCGATGCGCACGCCTTGGTGCAGGAGGCGGATGATGCGCGGGATGGCGGGGTTGTCCGGGGTAAGGCAGGCGCCGTCGTCGTAGAGGGTGACGTCTCCGTCGAAGGTGACGAGGTCGAGGCCGGGCCCGCGGACGAGGCCGAGGAGCTGGGCGGTGTTGAGGATGAGGCGGATGTCGTTGAAGGAAGGAGCGACGAAGCGGCGGCGGCTGATCATGCGTTTGGCGTCTTGGTATTTGAAGGCGTCTTCGAGCGGGAGCCGGCTGAAGAAGGAGCCGGCGGTCGGGACGAGGAGTTTCAGTTTGGACTTGCCGGGGGCGGCGTTGCGTTCATGGTCGACTGTTTGGGTTAGATGGAAGTGAGAACAGGGGGAAGAGGCTTACTGTGGTCGTCGATGAGCTTCTCGACATCCCGGAAGATCTCCGCGTAGCGTTGATGGGTGTCGGCCGCTACGGCCACGAGGTTCTCGCTGTGTTCCTGGTAGACAGCGGTGGGCTGCGAGTGCAGCACAAAGGGGACCGCCAGAAGACCCTATTCGATGAGCTTCCTCCTGTGGTTATGGAGTGGTGCACTCACTTTGATCCATTCAATCTGGACTATGTTAGTTTGGACGTTGCGACGCGTCTTGAAGAACTCACCAGCTGGTCTCGACGATGCGACTATCGGAGTGAGTCAGCCAGCTCAACTTCAATGGCTGACAGCATACCTTGAGAGCATCTATCAAATGGTTAGCATCAGTCTTCTAACCGTATTTAAAGAGACGTACATTCAACGCGATACCGAGTGGTCATTGTGAGTGGTGTTGTTAGCCAGGGGTGAGGAGGGGAGGATGAGGAGGATGAGCAGTGCGGGAAGTTCCCCGCTCGGTGAGTTGGAGAAGTTGGTGCCAAGACAGGGTGAGACACAGGCAGACTCCCATCGATGATGGATTTGATTGGATTAATATGGTCAATTTGAGTGCTTATTGGCATCGAATCTTCCGTCTAGACCCAGCATCATGGTGACTCATTCTGCGCCATCACTTGTTGATCACTTATTGGCCGGAGAGCCGATCTTATCGCGAATAAGCCTCGCTGTGAGCAATTCAAGGTGGCTTAGACAGACCAGCAGAATTAACTATACGATCGAGACAAGAAAATCTGGAGTCATCAGAAAATATGCAAGCTTGGGCAAATCGAATGTCCGCATCTCGTATGGCTCATCAGCCTGAGGCATATCCCGGCCTATCACCATTTTCTGAGCAATAAATCAAGCCAGTCATCGACCTCGACGAGATTAAAGTTACATTCTCGTGTCGAGTCATACTCGCATACTAGTCCAGCGATGATGACGGTGATGACGATGCTATTGATGCCTGGAGTCATTCATCCAGTGTCCTCGTTATGGCAATATAACTGTGCGAGTCGTACGAGATGCCTACTCAACAGAATCAAACACAAATCTCTGCCATCACCCGGGTGAAGGTGAACATGAACATGAACATGAACACGAACATGCATTTCCTCAGTGAAAGCAGCAACCCACCTCTATCAGATCCACCACCCCCATACACCCCAGCTGCATCTCCCAAAATGCCAGAATCACAACCAGAAGCAGACACCAAACAACCACTCCCACCCTCCGCCACCGTATCTCCAACCCGCGGGATCCAAATCCCCTCGAAACACGACTACTTCACCTCCGGCTTCGCGTACCCTCCCTTCCTAGCCACCTACGACATCTCCCCCCACCACTGGACCCAATTCACCGACGACCTGAACGAGGAGGTGAAGCTCTCCCCGCGACAATGGGCGACCACAGTCGCCAAGGGCGTAGGCGTCCTCGCGCTGGGCGGGATGATGGCCGGCGTGCTGGGTGCGATTCCTGCGGTCCTGGTAGCGCGCAAGGCGAGGCGGAACCGCGAGGAGATGAATCTGATTATTGCTGCTTCGGAGAGGCCAGATGATATAGATGCAGATTCGGGGTCCGAGGGAGGGTCGAGGCTTTCGAGGAAGGTTAAGACGTGGAATGAGACGTTCTTCCAGCCGAGGGGGATTATGGTCCGGGTTGTTCTCCCGTGGGAGGAGCTGGATGAGATGCAGGGGATGGAGGTGCTTCCTGCGGGAAGGTATGGAAAGAAAGATGAGCAGGCTGTTAGGGAAGATGCGTCGCGAAAGGCGCGGATTGTGATTATTCCAGTAGATACAGATTCAGCGGCAAATCCGTGAATTAATGCAAGAATAAGTTCATTAACATGCGTTCCACATCAACATGATTCGGATACATTGGTCCATTACACCCTCGACTTGTCGACCGTCTCCTGGTGCGCCGCAGTCCCGTGCATCTCCTCCGCCATCTGCATCTTCTCCGACACCACCTGATCCCGCTCTTCGGCGTCCTTGTTTCCGTACAGACCGATCTTGTACCACGGCAGCTCGAACAGGCGATCCATGCTCTCGAGCGACCGCCCGGCTGTCTCAGGAACACTGAGAAACACCCACACTCCACCGAGGATGGTCACCGCCGCAAAGCACCAGAACGTGCCCTTGGGGGTGATGCCGCCGTGGTCGGTGGACAGCAACATGTTTGGGACGGCGCGCGAGTTGCCGTACTGGTTGGCAAAGTGTAGCGTCATGGCGATGGAGGTCGCCAGGGCACGGATGCGCAGCGGGAAGAGCTCCGCGGTGAGCAGGTACTGCATCGAGTTCCAGCCGAGCGCCCAGCCGAACCCGGAGACATAAATCATGGCGATGGCGCCGCGGCTGACGCCCTGCTTTGACTCCGGCAGGACAAAGTCGTCGACGATGCCCATCTCCGGGACGTCGGTCAGGAAGGCGGCGACGTAGATCATGGCGATGGCCTGCAGGGTGATACCGATGAGCAGGGCGCGTTTGCGGCCGATCACGTCGACCAGGAACAGGGCGCACGTGATGGCTGCGACGAGCTTGACGATACCGAACACACCGGTCACGAGGAGGCTCTCGTTGGAGCCGGTGATGCCGAGCAGCTTGAAGAGATCTGGGGCGTAGAGGGTGATGGAGCCGGCGCCGGACCATTGCGAGAGGATCTGCGACATGACGGTCAGGTAGATGCGGTACAGGTTCTTCGGGACGCAAAAGGTCTCCTTGATGACGCCGAGCCAGCCAGAGCCCATGGTCGCCTCGAGTTCGGCCTGGTGGGACTGCTCGATGGCCGTGATCTCCTGCACGACGTACTCGTGGTCTTCAGGGAGGTGTCGCACGCGCGCTAGATTGCGGATTGCGTGTTCGTATTTGCCCTTTTTGATCAGAAAGCGAGGGGACTCGTATTGCAGGAAGGAGAGGAGGAAGATCAGACCGGCGAAGATGATGTGCAGACTGGTTGGCACTTCCTACGTGATTGTCAGCTGCGATTGATTCTCAGGCAGTTGCCGGCTCACTCACCCATCGCTTGTGCGTGTTGTCTCCGAGGTTAACCTGGCACCCGTAGTTGGTAAAGTAGGCCAGGACGATACCAAGATACACGAAACCGGTAAACACACAGGTGCAGAGACCTCGGATCGACGCGGGGGCCTAGCCACGACGGTCAGCTTGCATCACACCGTATGCGAAGGTATACTCACAATCTCAGCGAGATACACCGGGCCCACCACAACAGTTTGTCCAACACCCAATCCTGCAATGAAGCGACCGGCGTAGATGGCGGCAAGGCTTCCGTTTGCGCCCAAGAAGATGCCAATACCAAGAATCCACAGAAGACACAACTGACGAGTGGCCCAGATACGACCGATGCGGTCACAAACCAAGAACGCGCTGCTCGGGTTAGAAAGTTGTCAAGCAAATTAAAATCTGGAACTTACAAGAGAGCACCACCGACAGAACCGATCTGCACCATCGCCGACACATTCGCCTTGATGTTCGTCTGTTCGACCTCACTGTATTGGCTGTAGTGGATCGTCCGCTGGAAATCCTTCGAGTTGAAAGCGCCCGAGATCAAACCCTCATCCACACCTCGGGCAGCGCCCATGAGGCCGAATGAGAGAACCGCAAACCATAGCCTCCAGTTGAAGACTTCTTTGGGTTCGTTAAGGTTTCTCAACCGGAAGATGTTGACGGGTTTCTTTGGACCGCCTGCCATCGTCTCGTCCTTTGTGTTCAGAATACCAAGTGGGAGAGATGAGCAAGAAAAAGTTGAGGAGGGTGATGGACAAACAGGGATGGACAGACGATCACTCCCCAGCTTTATACCCCATGCATGAACACTGCGGAGAAAACGCGGAGTAGAAGCGTGGGGTCGAAATTTCCGAGATCAGGACCAGGAAACTAACTTTGGTCGCATACTCGACACGAAGATATCCCGGAGATGGATGCATTGCTCCTTGCGGCTGGGACTCAGTGTCAATGGCATTTTGGATTCATTGGTTGAGAAACGGAGGGTGACCGACTGGCCCATATGAGGGGGCCAAGAACGCGTGGTTTGTGCCTATTCTCTGGCCCACCTAAGGTTTGCTGAAGGTTTGCTCAAGAGTCTAAGAGTCTGGAGTCGAGAGCTTGAAAGCTCTTGACTGCGCCAAAAGCCTTGTCCCACTCTCAGCATGAAGTCTATCCTCTGTTCTTGTGTATTGTGAGTTGTTTGAAAGAAATGAGATGTACCCAATAACTCACACATTCATCATATTTATCCTCCTTTCTCAGTCACTTTGAGAAACAATTCAACGAACAAGTCCATGCCGGCTTGTGGCCTCATCTCCGCATAATAAAGGCTCGGTCAAGTTCCGAAACATGACCGACTGCTTAGCGCTGGAAATGCCTCATAGGATCGGGATGTTTTCAACTCTAGATTCACTCTACACTCGGACCCGACTCGAAGTTCCGTTTCTCGGAAGTTCGAATGGTCATGTTTGATTCGCCAGTCGCACATGTACACGGTGAACTGTTGTCAGCATGAGCAGCACATCAGGCAGTTTAGGAAAGCATTCGCTGGCTCTCAGATCATCCTTTCCCATCAGCAGTAGCCCCGCCGTACCGAGTCAATGCATCTCATTATCCACTTCATAGAATGGCCAGCGAGAAAGGCCTATTCGGTCCTTGTCCGAAGCGACAACATCGTCGATGACGGCGTGACTAGCGTATCCAACTCCAGCAGCGATTCCACCGACGATCGCAAGGAAGCATGGTTCGGCGTGTGCCTAGCCTGATTGAGCCGTCTGTAACTCGGCGTTCTCCGAAGATTAGCCATAAGAATTGTGAGTTGTTGAGTGGATGGTGCCTGCTACAAGCCGGGGTCTGGGGTTGAATTCTCCACTGGAGTGTCTCGCTGCGGGGATGCAATGGGACGGGAAATTTACAAAACCTCCAACTCTCATTGGTTCATCCCACCCTCCACATGGACAGGATGGCAACCAACCATGGAAATTCAGTAGTAGTACGGAGTACTGTGGTCGACTGACGGATATAATAGATCTCAAATAGTCATATTGATAATTCTTATACAAGCCATTGCTATCTCATAATACAACAAGGAGTCAGTATTCAGTTGAGACACCGTTGAGTGGAGAAAGGTCATGAGGCCAGATATAAGCACAGACATCCTATTAGTCACGCCAGCGGAAAGCAGGATTGCGCCAATCGAGATCCTGGATCTGCAACAGGGACAGACCAGCCAGAGCCTGGTCAACATCCACCTTCTCGCGTCTCTTGTTATCCCACCGCATCCACCCCCAGAGCAATGCTCCGAGAATCATCGTCATGGACGAGGTGGCCAGGTTGAGACCGTTGCCGATATGATAATTCGGAGCGTCAAAGGGCAAAAACGACCATGTCGAGATCAAACCACCAATGTTACCCATCATCACCGTCGTTCCGATAGCCGATGACCGTGCAGTGTCAGACACCACGTTGTTCGATGAATTCGCATTGCACAGAGCGCCAAAGGCGAACGCACCACTAGCAATCAAAAACGTCGCGCCGTAGCGGACCATGGCGTCAGTGCTGGCCAGGAACATGATGTACCCCGCCATCATCAGAGGGGGCCCGATCACGAAGAAGATCATGCGCCGGTCAAATCGCCAGCTGAGGAAAGGGAACAACACAGTGAAGAACGCTCCGACAACATATGGAGGAACAGTGTGCAGCTGCTGGGACACCACGGTGCTGTGTTGGTAGATGGTCCTGACAATCGTGGGTGCGAAGAAGGCCAGGCCTTGGACCGTGATATTGTTGAGGAGGAAGATGAAAGAGGTGGCCAGGGTGACGGGGCTGAAGATGCCCCGGAGTGTCTTAGCCTTATCAATCTTGTCCAGCACTTCCGTGGTTCCCACACGCTCCGACTTGACTCGAGCGATCGCCAGGTCCTTCTCCTCCTGCGTCAGCCAGCGAGCTGTCGCAGGCCGGTCGGTAAGAGTAAAGAAAGAGATCAACGCGAGACCGATGGTAATGATGCCCTCAATAGCGAAGATCATGCGCCATGTGCGCAGGCCGCCGAAATGATCCAGTGACAGAATGCCCGAAGCCAGCAGGCCACCGAACGCGCCGGCCAGCGGCGCCATGACAATATAAAGAGAGAGGCGGAAGGCAAGTTCACTGCGACGGTACCACCGGGATAGATAGTAAGCGATGCCGGGCATCATACCCGCTTCAAAGACACCAAGCAAGAATCTGACTCCTGACGCGGCGTGGATGTTGTGGACAAATGCCGTGCCAAGCGAGCAGATACCGAAGCCCAGCGTGATGACGGGGAGGAACCAGCCCGGACCAATCCACTTGCAGGCAATATTGCAAGGAATTTCAAAGACAATGTAGCTGATGTAGAAGATGGATAAGAGGGCATTGTAGTCGTAACCCTTCAAGCCGAGGTCTTTCTCAAACCCGGCGAGCTTGGCGTTACCTGAGACAGGATCGTCAGTCAGACCGTGTGCGATAAGACGTGGAGAGAATAACATACCAATATTTGCTCTGTCAATGAAGCAAAACAGATAAAGAAGCGAGACAGTAGGAATGATGTAGAGATCAATCTTCAGTCGAAGGCGAGATTCCGCCGCACGGTCGAATTCGACCAAGGCTCGACCATATTGGTCCGTTGCAGCCTGACCACGGCTGGCGGCCTCATGAGCTGTTTCGTGGGCTAGAGTTTCTTTGAGTTGTGAAATGCCCTTTTCCTCCGCCATGACTTGCGAAAGATTATCGTTTCCGGACTCGGAAACAATCGAGATAAAAGGCGTTGGAACCTGTCAATGATTGACGAGGATGTT